TGACACTTCTTTCCCGTGAGACCAAATGCAGGACTCTCCGCTGTAGTTTTGCTCTGCAGCTCAGTACTGTGTAGGCCCTGGCTTCTTTTCTCCAAGACCGCTCTCTAGCTGAAGATCAGGCTTTCAGGGGGCTGTCCCAAGGCTTTGACAACCCTTCTCAGTTCAGCAGCAGTTTGTGTTGTGAGGGGCGGGCATTGAGAGAGGAACAAGCTGTGCCTTAGCCTTTGTGGAGGTCAAGGCCAAATGGTTTTAGGGGACAGAAGTACCCTGGGATGGGGCCCTCGTTGGTGCTTCCACACTCCTCATCCTGACTTCTACCCTGGCACTTCCCACTCTCTGTAGGCAAATGTCTGTAGAATTGACTGTCTTTTCCAGATAATAAACTCTGTTACTCCCTTATATGTGACTGTGAGGAAATAAACTCTCCTGTTTACTCACCTTTCCAGTTGTTCATCTGTATAATGGGTTGTCAGAATTAAGTGGAATAATCCTGGCGAGCTCTGGTGGCCTAGTGGCAGGAAACTGCACTGCAATACCAGAGGTGCGCGGTTCAAATCCACCAGATGCTCTGCTGAAGGAGGAGGAACAATCGCCTCCTGTACCAGTCAGATCCAATTTGATGGTACACACATAAAATAAATTAAAAAAAAAGAATTAAGTGGAATAATCCATACCAAGCCTTAGAACTGTGTGCAGGGCGTAGTGTTCTCGTTGAATGCTGTTGGGGTGGCTCGGAGTTATAACATCCCCTCAGTGTACAACACAGCGAGACCAGGTGACGCAGAGCCCAGGCTGCCTGGGTGTGACTCCTGGTTTGTGGAACCTGGGCACTTCTCCACTTCTCAGTGGTAAGGAGCTGCGCTGCCAGCCTGAAGGCAAGTGGTTCAAATCCCTGAGCTGTTCCATCAGAGAAAGATCTCCCCTTGTGCAGTTCATGGCTGCTGAAAACCCACTAGGCGGTCAGCTGGGAGTTGGTCTTAACATCACATTAAGTTACAAAAAACAAAGTTCCTACTTCAAGAGGTTTTCTGAGAAATACACATGTTTTCTTTGTAAAACACTTAAAGGGACAATAAATAGATGATCTATATTGTTGCTGTTATATGCTGTCAAGTCACCTGCAATTCACAGCTCTGAAGCCAGGCCTATTCTGAGCCAGTCTCACTGACTCCAACACACCCACCCCTGTTACCCCAGTTACTGTATCTATCCATCTCATCCGGGGTCTTCCTCTCCTGCACTGTCCCTCCACCCTTCCGAGCATGATGTCCTTCCCCAAGGATCGGTCCCTCCTGGCCACGTGCCCAAACTGTGTTGAGATGGAGCTTCAAAATTGTAGCCTCCAAGGAGAAACTTGGTTTCACCCTCTCCTGGACAGACCTATTTCTTTTCTTGACAGTCCGTGGTGTGTTCAGGATTTTTCTCCAGCACCACAACTCCAAGGCTCTTGAGTCTTGACTCTTCTTCTGTCATCCTTAGTCATTGTCCACCTCTCTGACACATAGGATCTATTAAATACAATAAACACCACAGAGGCATGAAAGAATAGGGAGTGGAGTGGCAGGAAGCAGGGCGATGCTCCCAGCACTGTTCCCACAGTTATTTCGGGGGGAAAATGACTCTGGCTTGACCCCTTAACTCAAGCAACAGGGAGGTCCTGAGCACCTGACAGAGGCGAGAAGCCACTTCCAGAAGGGAACAACAGGCTTCCTCTTTTGTCATACAGATATTTTAGGGGAAAACCCCTCAAACCTGCTGTTTAGCTTGATAATAAAGAGAGTAAGAATTATGGGAAGTGGCGATGTAACTCGCTTGGTAATTTGGAAATAGGGATAGATGTCTTGAATGTCTCCTTAATGACTTTGAAACTAACCCAAGAGAACCTTGTAAAATATTTCCATGTGGTTGAAGCATGATGGTGATTGTGTTTTTTAGAGGGTATACTTTATAAACATTTCATCAATGCTTTTGTCACCAGCCATCAGGAAATCAAAAGGCGAATTGCATTGGGAAGGTCTATTATCAGGGACCTCTCCAGAGTCCTGCAGAGCAACAGTGTCAGTCTGGAAATTAAGGTGCATCTGATCCAGGCTATGATTTTCAAAGTTATTTGCTATGCATCTGAGAGTTGGACAATAATTAAGGATGATAGAAGATGGATGGATGCCTTTGAGTTGTGATGCTGGAGAAGAGTGTTGAACCGTGGACCTCCAGAAGAACAGACAGATATGTCCTGAAGAGGGTGAAACCAAGCTGCTCCCTGGAGGCTAGGATTTTGAAGCTCTGTCTTACATACTGTGGGCACGTGGCCAGGAGGGACCAGTCTTTGGAGAGGAACATCATACTTGGAAGGGTGGAGGCAGAGCGCAGGAGAGGAAGACCCAGGATGAGATGGATTGACATAGTGTCAGAGGCAATGAGACTGGTTCAGGATAGGGCAGGCTTCAGAGCTGTTGTACATAAGGTCGCTGAGTCGTGGGCAACTTGATGGCACATAACAACAACAACAACCACAAGTGTCCATAATCCCCAATACCACCCTCTCTCCCAAGACTCTGTATCAGTTGGCCTGAGGTTGGACCTAAAGATGCATTTCCAATAGGAAGTTTTTAGGTAATGCTGATGCAGCTGGTGCAGGGACCATGGTTTGAGAACCTCTGAATGTCTTGGACTCGACAATGAAGCATCAGTTCCCTGTTATCAGTTTTGTGCTCTGGCTTCTCTTATACCTGGTCATTTCGTGCATTTAATTCTGTGGCCTTGACCCCTGCGTTCTCGTGGAATCAGTATGAGAGGGCTGAGCCCCAAGAGCTCAAGAGACAGGTGGGCCAGAGAGAAGGAGGTTGGCGAGTGGCTGAGGCTCAGAATGAAGTGAGGTGATGGGTAGATGAAGCTGTGGTCATGTGGGAGCAGATCCCCAGGGAAGTAGGCAGGCAGAAACGGGTCATGGGTGGAGAGCAGACTAGTGGGGGACAGTGGCACACCCTCCTTGAGAGGTAAGCTGAGAAAAAGGCATGGAAGGAGCGGGAAGGAGCATCCAGTGAGCTAGGAGGAGAAGAGACGGCTGATGGAGATGCCTGCCCACTCCCTCACAGGACTTTATTATTAGTGCGGGCTGAAGCTTAAATAGTTAAAGAGCCGGGTTCTCAGGTGAGCTTACTGTGTGTGGGAGCTCAGGAAGCAGGTATCCTGTTACCTTTGCCCACAGCCCGCCTGGCAACCCACTGTTGCTCCAAGGCACGGCTTGTTGTGAGCGATCACTCATCTCTAAGGTTGCAGGGACTCCCTTCCTGTAGCCGAGCATGGTGAGTATCCTGTCACCTACTCCCTGCTAGCCTTGCACGCCAAGTAGAAGATGCTGGGCTTTCCCTTCATGGCCCTGGTGAGGGTCCTTGGAGCTGCAGAGTTTTGTTTCTGGAGGACATGCAGCGAAGAGTTTGTAAGACAGGCAGGATGAGAGCTGAGCGTGGAAAGGTGCCTGGATGGCCTTCATTGGGTGATCTTGAAGACCAAGGTCTGGGCTTGGAGCTACGTGGAGCTCTTGTGAGGTGTCTACTGCATCTTGATGGCCTCGTACCTGGCGCTGGGCCTGATACACACACACAAGGATTCTGTAAATAAAGGGGGAACCAGTGAGTTTATGAATGAATTGGAAATCTGAGAGAAAAAAACATTGGAATCAACTAGAGTTTCCAAGACTGTAAATCCTTATGAGAGATGACAGCACAATTTTTTTTTCCTCTTGAGGAGTGGCTTTGGGATTAGAACCACTGACCATTTCTTTTGGCAGCCTGTCGCTTATCCTTTTTTGCCACCAACACTTCTTAGAGTAAGAACATGCATACTTCAGATAGTTGTGGAGTTCAACGTCTACAGGCTTTGGAGCTAGAAGCAATTGCCCTTGGGGCCTGGCCTCTCTCCCTGCCTTTTCACCTCTCAAAGGCATCAGTTTAATTGTTTATAAATGGGAAGATGGTCTTTGTTTGTGTTCGGTATTTATATCTCGCACAGAGGCTGGCACTCCTGTGTAACGGCTGGCATTGTTACTGAGTGCCTCCCTTTTTCATCTCTGATCCTGTCCTGCAAGGGAGGTGGGGACGGCCTTACCACCGCCTCTTAGAGGTGAAGACAGCTGAGGTCCAATGCGGTGCCCCTTATGGAAGGCCTTCCACCTTTGCACAGGCAGGTCAACTTTTTTTCTCAAGGTCTTTCTTTTTTCTGAGGCCAATGACCCTAAAATTACAGGAGAAGGAAAATATGGGGTGTGATGGGCATTTGGTTGCTGTATCTTGAAGCGTCTGTAGGGATGGAAAAGGACCTAATTAGGTTTCTGAGAGCTGCCTCTGGCCGATGCTTCTGTGATGCAGAAGGGGACTCAGGGTGAAGGAATTCCCTGACAGCCAGGCCCTGGTGCTTCAAACGGCTCATTCCAGATCCCCAAAGTGACCGCTGTTGGGTTGATTATTGACGCGTATTGATTATTGACGCTCTCAAAGATACCCTAGAAAAGAGTTGAAGTGCTCAGGGAATTTCTGTGGGTCTAAGTCCGCAGCGGAGCAGACTGGTACCTCTTTTCCAGCACAGCCATTGGGAGGTCCAAGTGGCCAAGCCTTTCGTTTGCTGCCAAACTTTTTTTTTTGTGTATTTTTTTGTTTTTTTTACTGCCAAACGTTTTAACCACTGCACCACCAGGGCTCCTGCATTCCTAACCACAGGCCAGCGAGACGGGCTCCCACTGTACACAGGATGTGTTAGAAGACACTCTCCCAGGGCTGAGGATTTGAACTCACAACTATGTGGTTTGCAGAGCAGTCCTTTCCACGTCTCTGGTCTCATTGGTGCATATCACACACACCCTGGCTCATCCCGACCTGCTCTGTTGCTGGGCAGGTGCAGTGTGCGGCCTCATACACCTGGACTGAAACTGACTCCATTCTTCCTTTCAGGCGCTCTCCCTGCTGGCTGGCCTGCTGCCGTGGCCCCGCTGGCATTCTCCCTCGATGGTCAGCCCCGGGTTTCTCCCACCCATGCAGCCTTCCATGCCCACCGCCGAGACACTCAGCAGCCCTCTCCTTGGGGCCTACACGCTCCCCACCTTCAGCTTCCAGCCCCGCCGTCAGAGTGTGGACTGGAGACGCATCAGCACCCTGGACGTGGAGCGCGTGGCGCGCGAGCTGGACGTGGCCACCCTGCAGGAGAACCTCTCCAGCGTCACCTTCTGCAGCCTGGACAGGGAGGCGTGCAGCCGCTGTGGGCAGCCGGTGGACGCGGCCCTGCTCAAAGTGCTTCGCCTGGCGCAGCTCACCATCGAGTACCTGCTGCATTGCCAGGACGTCCTGAGCGCCAGCATCGCCCAGCTCGAGGCCCGGCTGCAGGCCAGCCTGGGCCAGCAGGAGAGGGGGCAGCGGGAGCTGGGCCGCCAGGCCGACGAGCTCAAGGGCGTGCGCGAGGAGAGCCGGCGGAGGCGCAGGATGATCACCACCCTGCAGCAGCTGCTCCTGCAGACGGGCGCCCACAGCTACCGCGTGGTGAGCGGGCCCCTGCCCAGTGGGAGGGCGGGAGGGACCGGAGGCCCCGCCACCGGGCACCTCGACCAGACACCGCTGCCTCGGAGCAGATGATAGCATGATGCTCATGGACAGAGAGCCCCAGGGTGCCTCTCCAGAGTCTACAGTGTGTCGACTACAGGCAGCAGCTGACTTGTGGTGAAGACATCATTATGTTGTTGTTAAGTGCCCTTGAGTCACAGGTGACTCAGCGACCTTTTGAAGGAGAGTCCTCAATGCTTGGGTGCCTTTCATCCTCTCTCCAGGTTCATAGGGTTTCCAGAGGCAAGCTATTATGGAAGTGGATGCCACTCCTCCTTCTAAGCTAAAACCCCTTTTTAAAATTTGTATCTTTGATTAATATCAGTCTCTTTATGAATTGGATCTTGGGACATCTGTGAATGCACCTTTGAAAATGAATAATAAAACACACAGCCTCTGCACGTTCACATATATGTACGGGAGACCCTCACCAGATGAATGTCTGGAGGGTCTGTCTGTGTATGAGGACACTGTGTGTGTGTGTGTGTGTGTAGTGTGTAGTGTGTGGTGTATAATTAGTGTTTGTGTGTAACACTGTATAAGTGTGTTCTCTGTTATATATTGTATTATAATACTGTGTAAGAGAATCAGTGATTATCTTGAGAATTGAGATGCTGTTATCAAAAGGAGAGAGAGAAAAACTACACAATATACACTACAGGCTGTTTAGTGTTTGGTAAGATGAGGCTGAGGAGTTGTGGGGACACAGGCAGGGAAGAGGAGAGTCTTCTCGAGGTAGTTTAAAAACGGAATCCTGAGTTCTTTAAATCAGATAGAAGAGATCCTCTCCTTGTCTTCTCCTTCTCCTTCTCCTCCTCCTTCTCCTTCTTCTCCTCCTCTTCCTCCTCCCCCTCCCTCCACCCACC